ATAGGGGATGCCAGGGTCCCCAAGGCCTCCAGTGACCCCTGACTTCTGAAATCAGCTCCCAGGGGCTGTGCTGACCCCAGGGGTGTGGTACAGAAGAGCAACTCCCTTCCCTGTGGCTAAACCTGGCCCTCTGTCCATGTATTGATAGGTACACAGCTGGCCAGGCCATCTCCTTGCCCCTTCAAGTGGCCTTAAGCGATATAAACGGGCTGGCTGAGGAGCGCAAGTATGGTCCTGGAAGGACGGGACAGTCCGGTTCCCGGCCCGCGACTACCAGTGAACATGGCTGAGCCCGGCGGGATGAAGAGCTGTGCTCCACGCTGTCAGCTGGGACCTGGGACGGAGCCTGGAGGAAGAGGCTGTGACTTTCCAGGGCATAAAGGACTGGACATCAGAACTGAAGCACTGACCCACAAATATTAGCTGCTACCTCTGTATTTCCTGCCCTCTGCATGTCGCAGAGGTGAACTCAGACCTCTGCCCAAGCCCAGCTCAGGGCGCTCACATACTCCCCCACTTCCCTGTCACTCACTCCCCCAGCCACGCCCCTCATGGAGGACGAAGGAAACCCAGGTTGGGCTCTGGATCTAGGCCTTTGTTCTGGGGCTCACTGTGAGGCGTGACTTCCTAGTTACCTGCTACCTTTCATCTGTCCAGGCTACCCCCGCCCAAGGGCACCTTTGCTCTACACAGGGCCTGTGTGCCCAGGCCTTGGGCCTCCAGAATGGAGCCAAGTGCTGGCAAAGCACAGCCAGTTCCTGGCTCATGGCTATCCTCTCACCTTCCCTGGGCCTTTTCTCCACCCTGGAGTGCCAGGGACTCCCTGCACCTCTTGTGAAGGCCCCAGTGCTACCAGCCTGCCTCTCACTCAGCCAGCTCTGGGAAGTCTACCTCCAAACAAGACCACATTCAGGGTCAGTGACGGTTACCACAGTGAAGGCCACAAGCAGGTGCCCTCCTGGGCCTCTTCTCTCACTTTCCCAAGCACCTTTCAGCCTCAGGAAACGTGCATCTAAAACCTCCTTGCAGTAGCATTTCCATGAACGAACAAACCCGAGAGGATCATCTCCGAGGGCACCGGCACCTTACCCTGTTATTCATTAAAAGTCTGATTTGTGTGTTTTGGCCTGGAAGTTCTGTCTTGTTTCTTTCAGACTTGCCTTCTTATCTCTGCTTCATTGCCCAGCGTCTAGTGTCTTGAAAATTACTTTTCTGAATATTGTGCATTTGTTTCCAGTGAGAGGAGAAGCCAGTCCCTCAGTACCCTGTGACCCTGTTGACATCAGCGCCATCTTTCCATCCTTACTGTCACAAACAGTGGAGAACTGAAAGGATGTGGAGCTGTCTGCTGACCTCGACCTCTGGGAGAAGGCCGCGATAGGCCAGGCCCTGGATCCATGGATGTGGACATGGGTCAGAAGCATCAGTCCTCAGAGGGAACTCAGAAGGGTCAGACAGAGGCAAAGGCACCCGCAGCAATTGGTCCCCACAGGGTGACTTGTGGTCTGCAGAAGAGGTGACCAATTCTGACTTGCAGCATAGGGGAGAGACTGGGGGAAGATTGATGTCTGAGTGGGGCTCAGAGAGTTTGCAGGCTGGACTGAGGAGGAGGGGCCTGAAGTGCTCTTCAACAGGGCCGCACTGGTTATGGATTGGATTCCTGGCCAGACAAATGGGACCCTCCCCACAACCAGAGGAGGCTGTGCTTTGCCAGCCCTGGGGACAGATCCTTGGTCCAAACCAACCGCAGATTTCCACAGGCTGGGGACACCACTGCAGCCTCCAGATAATGCCTCGAAAGCCTCCTTCCTGCTGCTCAGAGAAAGTCAAACCCAAATACAGATCTTCTGGCTCCTTGATGAATTGACCCACCAGGAGCTGCAGGAAGCCAGGCCCCTCTTTGTGTTTGGCTAAGTCCTGATTGGATTTTGGGTGCTGTCACCCCACATTCCAACCCATCCTTCCACCTACTTGAAACTCACTTCCTCCCGAACTGGGACACTTCCTGGCCTCTCTCACTCTGGCTGCTTCTGGTTCCTGCTCCCCTTGTGACCGGAGGCTGAACTCAGATGACACCACACTGACCCGTCCACCCATCTGGCCAGTGGGGCCCAGTGAAGAGTGGCATGGAAATGCAGAAAGCCCTTTCATGAATCTTGGCAGGAAGCCCCCCCCCTCCCGAGTTCCCTGGAGGAGGAGGAGCCTGTGGGTCAGCCCTGGGCAATTCCAGGATCCCTTTGGAATTCTGACAGTGCCTCAGCCTGGGTAACCCCCATGGGAGCCACAGCCACATCCAGAGCAATCTAAGTGTCTGGCAGGAAGCCCACTGTAAGAAGGCAAGAGTCTGAGGGTCTGCATCAGCACCAGGCCCTCAGTGGCCAGCAGTGGCAAAAGCTGGAAAGGATAAAGACCACCCATTCCCCTTCCCTTTCCTCACTCTCTTCCTGCCCCTCCCTGCAGCTCCACCCCTTCCTCCTCCTTCAGCTTCCTGAGCCAGCCCACTCTCCTGCCAGCCAGCACTGAGCCACCCCCACGGGGCACTGCCTTTTAGCCCGAAGCTCATAGATGTCCAAAGGATCCCCTTCCTCCAGGCCAGTAGCCTGGCTTGGGGTGTGTCTGATCTCTTACTCCCTGCCGGGTCCTGAGGCCTGGAAGCCCAAATGCAGGGCTGATGGAAGGCCTGTGTACGCTTGAGTGCCACCACCTCCAGAGCCACTGCTCCCTGCCAGCCCTCATGGGTCCTCACTATCCTCTCCTCGCTGTCCTCCTCTTGAGGCACTGTTGACCAGCCCTCCTGACCTTCCTGCCGCCAGCAGTCCTCCCCACCCACTCTGTTCCCAGCACCAAACACCATCCTCTCTTGCCTGAGTCCCAATAACTTGAAACCCAAAGGTTGTCAGGACATCCCAAAGGGAGCAGGTGGGTTGGGAAGTGAATACCAGCCAGGGACCCGCGGCTCTGCAGAGACCTGGCTGGCTCACTCCCCAGAAAACCTCAGCACTGGGCCCACACCCTGGCCCTGGCAGGCCCCGGCAGGCCCAGTCACCACAGGGAATTGGTGGACTGAAGGTGGCTCCATGGGGAAGGTGCTGTCTGAGCTTCCTGGGGAATCTCACCAATGTCAGGCGGCGATGTCTGATGATGGTGAGGTGGGAGCCCAGCCCCAGCCCTTCTCCGTGTCAGGAAGGTGGGAGGTGGACGGAAGTGGAGACAATGTCCAGGAGAACAGCTCTTCGGGCTGTGGGGCTTCTCTCCCAGTTTGCAGGACTGGGCTCAGGAGGGCTCTGGGGACTTGGGGATCCCCCAAGAATATCACACCTGCCACAGCTCACTGTCTCCATTTCTCAGGACCAAAACCTGTGGCCTGCACTGCACTGCCAGGATCACAGCCTCCAGCCCCACGAGGCTGATTACATCCACCTTAAAGTTAAGCCACCTGGGCCCCTTTCTGAGGACATCAGAGAGGGGACATTCCCGCCCCAGGGAGTCCTGGATTGCACTGCTCACAGCTGATGCACACATGGGAAGAGTCACATAGTGTTTTTGTGGAAGGCATCGCCAACAGACATGAAACACGAAGACCTGAAATTCCCATTCTTTTCGGGAAATGGACTGGGGAGTGGGGGGCTGGAGCGGGCAGGGCTGAGCCCCCCAGCTGGCCCAAGGCATGGCTTGCAGTCGTCCTCTGCTGGGCTCCGCAGGACACTGAGTTTGTGACCCCAGGCCCAGGGCACCGACCACACCCTCGCAGGTTTGGCTCCGACCACGGATGGGTGCAGCTGATACAGGGAAAGAAACTCCCAACCTGTTGCTGTCTGAAAGGCCGAGCTCTGTTCCCCTACTTAAGGGGTACATTCTAGGAACCACGGAGGTTAAGAGCAGGAAGCACTTATTGAGAGAAAGCCTGAGATACAAAAGAGGTCCCAGAAAGTGGGTTGGTTTCCCACCAGCCCCCTTCTTAGCAGAGTTTATTGAGCAAAGCCAAGAGGTGAGGCATGTTCAAGGTGGCGCAGAACTATAATCAGCCAATAAGGTTACACGCATAGTGGTTTAGGTAATGTTGATCCAATGGGAAATCATAGGCTAGGCGTGAGGCGGGACAAGACCATAGTCAACCAATAAGGTTACAAGTATAGTGGCTTGGGTAATATTGACCAAATAGATGGGGAGGCAAATCAGGTAGCAATACTGGGACCAAGGCTTTCCCAGAGTGGGTGGGTTAAGGAGGCTTGGTCCCCACGCCACGGTGATCTCGAATATCTATCACTGCTGCTTCTCCCTAGGGGAAGTATTGGGGAGGAGTCCCTTTCCTGAAAGCCTGAGTGAATGCGCCTCCAGCCACAGCTGTCCCCTGCGCTGACCTCCTGCAGGCCCAGCCCTGTCTGACTGCCTATCATACTCTAAATAACTTGGCTATCTATAAGACATCGGCCGGGTGTGGTAGTGCAGCCTGTCATCCCAGCGCTGGGGAGGCTGAAGCTAGGGGACCATAGCAAGTTCCCGACCAGTCAGGGCTACAAAGTGAGCTTAAGGTCAGTTTGAACTGCATAGTGAGACCCTGTCTCAAAAAGACAAAAAAACAAAAACAAAACAAAACAAAAAAATCGGACTGCAGAGGTGCCCGCGGGGTGATCTTTCGGGTGTGTTTCCCGTGTGCACAATTTCATCGTCTTGATCCTTTTTCCCTCCCCGCCCCTCTGTCCCCTTCCTCTGCCCCCAAGTCCGGCTCCCCGTTTCCTGCCGTCTCGCCCTGGCTTTGCGCCCCGCGTTAGCTACACTCCAGGCTTTTCTCCCGGAGCCCCCTTAGAGTACGGCCGCGGGCTGCTGTGCACCGCCCCGCGCCCCGCGCCCCGTGCCCCGCCCTCCTACGCCGCGCGGCGCTCACTGACAAAAGCCTGGCGTCCTCAGGCTCAGCCCCCGGCCCGCCCTGCCCCCGGCCGGGGGGGGCGGTGACACCGCCGACGACGTGGCCCGGGCCGGGCCAATGGGGGTGTGGGGCGTGGGGCGCGAGTGCGGCCGCGGCCTCGGACCATGGCGCGCGCGGGGCTCGGCCTGGGGCTCGGGCTGGCGCTGGCGCTGGCGCTGGCGTTGGCTCTGTCGCGGGCCAAGCCCACGGTGCGCAAGGAGCGCGTGCTGCGCCCCGACTCCGAGCTGGGCGCGCGGCCGGCCGAGGACAACGGCAGCTTCCAGTACGACCACGAGGCCTTTCTGGGCCGCGAGGACGCGCGCGGCTTCGACCAGCTCAGCCCCGAGGAGAGCAGGGCTCGGCTAGGGTGAGGGGAACGGGAGCCGCAGGGCGGACCGGGGTGGGGACCGGGCTGGGGCGCGGGATGGATCCTTGGGGTGGGGACCCGGGCTGGGGCGTAGGATGGGTCCTTGGGGTAGGGACCCGGCACGGACGTGGCAGCAGGAGGGGCTGCTGCACGGGGCGGGGCTGGGCGTGGATCCGGGCGCCCTTGGGTGACACCGTGTCTGCCCCGCCTGCATCTTCTTTTGCAACCCCAAGACTTAGAGTTTGGGACACTTTTTCTGTGTCTTAGGGGCAGGTACAAACCAGCGAGAGAGAAGAGTGGGCTGGGGAGGGCTGTCCTGTGCCCAGTGAGCAGGGACCAAGCAGTCTCATCAGAAGGACCGGGTTCTGTCCCCATGGACACCCAAAACACAGATGGCGGTGGTGGATGAGGAGCACAGCTGTGGAGGCTGCAGCCAAACCCTGGACATAGCATTTTGGGAAATCTCACACCCACTCTGTCCTTATGGGGGTGGCCTGAGCTGGACTGGAGCCTGCTGCCTGCACCAGCCAGGCTTCCGGAGCCTGACCCCCCGGAGCGGAGGGTCTTCCTGTGCCTTCCTATCCTGCTGCAGTAGAAAAGAACACAGCCTCCCGAGCGTGGGCCACCAAGGGCCCCGTGCTCTGGAGTGGGAGGAGCCCTACCTGCCTGCCTGGAGCAGACTGAGCTTCAGAGGCATCACACAAGCACCTTTTGTTGGGCCCAGAAGTTCTTTCTCCCCTCTTTGGGACTCAACAACAGAGCCATTGATATCCTGCCTGTGTCCCACAGCCCAATTGACCTCCCGCCAGGGCCCGTCCCTGTGTCACAGGAGCAGGGCCTCTTGCTCTGGTCCTGCAGCTTCCTTGGATGCCAGAATCATGGTGACGAGAGGTCAGCACGCACAGAGCAGGTGCTGACCACGGGCCAGGGCAGATCTCCGAGTGGGGACAGAGGCCCTTGCGCTGCTGCTGGGAGGGTGGCTTGGGGACAGCATGCTCCCTTCACAATCAGGAAGAGCCATGAGGCTTCAGGTCGGAGAGCAGGCCTGGGGTGTCCCCCATCTGAGCTTGGGGCCACAGAGAGGGTGCTGGTGATCCCAGAGATAGAGTAGCCATTCAGGAGGCTTGGAGTTCTGTTCGGTGGGCAGTGTGGGGCGCTTGAGGGGAAGGAAGACATGAAGAGTAAGGGGAGACCAAGGCAGAGCAGGGAGCCCCAAGAGATGGAGATGGAGATGGAGTGCCATCCCATTTGTGGGCCCCAGAACTTGCTGGGGAAGTCAGACTGGCAGTAGGGGAGATGGGACACTGGGCATGGTGGTGCACACATACAGGACCAGCACTCAGGAGGCTGAGGCAAGAGCATCACCAGGCCAGCTTGGGCTACAGAGTGATTCAAGGCCAGGTTGAACTATGGTGAGACCCTGTCCCAAGAAGCCAAAATAAAAGTGACAACAATAATAATAGTGATAGGGAGGACACACAACTTCATCTTCCAGGCAGGTCACTGGGATCTATTTGTGCTGTCTGACTCCTGAGCACATGAGAGGCTGCAATCCATTAGCAATGTCTGCCACTGGGGGTGTGGGACAAAGCTTATTGTTGGGCAGGTCAAACTTCCAGTCCTCTCCAGGACCATTAGGGCAGGGGCTGTACTTTACAGCTTGTGTTCTGGGTGTGTGACTGTTCCTTCCCGTGTCAGACTATGATCCCACAGCCTTGGTAACAGCCTTTGGGGTTTCTCTTCCCCACAGGAAGATCGTTGACCGCATCGACAGTGACGGGGATGGCTTTGTCACTACCGAGGAGCTGAAAGTCTGGATCAAGCGGGTGCAGAAGAGATACATCTATGACAATGTGGCCAAGGTGTGGAAGGACTACGACAGGGACACAGATGGCAAGATCTCCTGGGAGGAGTACAAACAGGCCACCTACGGTTACTACCTGGGTGAGAGACGCTGCGGGGTGTCACCCAACAGACTTCTTGTCCCCTGGGAGACCTCACCACCCTCTAAGAGAGAGGGTGGTTTGGAGGAGGGGATCCCACATCAGAGCTGTGATTGTGCCACAGCATCCGGGGGGTCGGGAAGCCTGCAGAGTCCCCGAGCAGAGTGACGAGGTAAAAGCAGAGGCCTGCACACACATTCATGCACACACAGTGTATCTGTGTGGCCCAAAGCTTGGACCTGTGTCCCCCATGAGCCTCTGGACGAGGTGGAGGGGTGACTTTGGGGGACACAGACTTGGGTGACCTGAAATCGCTGCCCTAAAAGACTCAGTGGGTCAGGGCTGTGTGTCAGGACTGAGCTGGAGGTGCAGGATGTGGGCGCCAGGTCGCAGGCTAAGCCTCTCCACACCCACCCCTTGCCCACAGGGAACCCCGCAGAGCTCCAGGACAGTGCCGACCACCACACCTTTAAGAAGATGCTGCCCCGGGATGAGAGGAGGTTCAAGGCCGCAGATCTGGACGGGGACCTGACAGCCACGCGGGAGGAGTTCACCGCCTTCCTGCACCCCGAGGAGTTTGAGCACATGAAGGAGATCGTGGTTTTGGTGAGGATCATGGAGAGGATGGGGAGAAAGCTGTCCACGAGTCTTGCTTTGTCCTTTGGCTGGAGGAAGTTGGGGTGTCGCCTGTCCCTCTGTGCAGGAAGTTAGAGCTGAGTGAGCTCTGTAACCGCAGTCCTGGCCGCGTCAGTCGGCACCATCACAGCCCACTGTGGATGGTCTGGACTGTGGGCCTTCCTGCAGCTCCCCTCCAGACTCTGTTTGATACCAGGCTGCTTCCGTCTTGGGCTTGGCCATTTTGTGGCTCCAGGATCACCCTGGTGCCAGCAAGGTGGCTGATAAAGGAAAGGGAGGGTATAGGTAGGCCAGTAAAGGACGTGTCTTCCAGGAGGAGGCTGCACATGCAGCCCTGCAGCAAGCGGAAGAGTGGATGGTCCCTTGAGCAGCCTTCCTGCCTTTCAGCTGAGAGGGCGCTAGGAACGGCTGCTGAAATGAGGCTCAGTAAACGTTATGGGAACTTAGCACAGCTCATGGCTGGAAAGGGCGCTCAAGGGTGGGTCCTGGGAATGCTTTGAAGGCTGACTCTGCCTGTGGGACCCCAGTGTCTTCATTTTCTGCCATGGTTTAACAAAAGCTGTTGCCTGTGTCTTGGGCTGATGGCCTGAGCCAGGTCCAGCTGCTTCTGTGTTGCCCACACCTGGTGCAGCTTTCACTGTGGAGCGGCTTGTGGAGGTGGGAGGGGGCTCTCGCCTGTCCCCCACTTACATTGGGGCCATGGCAACTCTAAGGTGCTGGCTCCAGGACCCTTTCCTCTGCACCCCCAGCTGCATTTAGCAGGTTGCAGGTCTTCTACAGTAGCATCCACACTTGGCTGTGTTTTGCACCCAGGATGTCTGTGCGCTTCGGGCAGAAAAAGTTGAGAGGCTAATGCAGTAATGTCAGGGTAGAATGTATCCAAGAGGCCATTTACGCTTTTGTTTTTCAACAATTTCGCATCTCTGACACAAGCTCAGGGGTCCTGGCCCAGTCAGCCCCCAAATCTGGTGGTTTTCACATCGGGTTCCTGCAGGCACTGGGATCCCCCTGGGGTGTTTGGCAGGTTCCTAACAGGGCCCCAGGCATTGGAGCTGGTTGTGGGGCAGAGAAAGAGAAGGGAAAGAGCTGGAAGTCGCCAGGGTCCCGGCCACAGGCAGCTGCAGCCTGGGGACCCATCACACAAGGGTCATCCTGCTTCTTTTCCCTTTGCTTCCCAGGAAACCCTGGAGGACATCGACAAGAATGGGGATGGATTCGTGGACCAGGACGAGTACATCGGTGAGTGCAACGCTCAGCTGTCCTGGCGGCATTGGGCTGTTTGGCTGTGCCGTGCACCAGACCTGCCTTTGGTGGTAGCCTCGAGCGGTGGCCATGGTGCCCAGCTGACAGACTGATCGCAGGTGCTGCTTGGGCCTGCGGGGCAGTGGCTCTTCTGGGCTCCGCCTGGGAGAGAGTGGGTTCTTCTGCACAGGGTGGGGGTGGGCCATTGTGCCTCTAACTGCAGTCCGAGAGTCTGGCATGTGGCATCCACAGTTGCTGCTGTGTGGCCCTGGAGAGCTGTGGTGTCCTTCTGAGCCTTAGCATCAGCCGGCAAAATGGGAATAAGTGATGACCCACACAGGATCATTGGAGCTCAAAATAAGGAACTGTGGGGTCCGCTGTTTCCCAAAACAGAGTGAGGAGGGGCGCAGCCCCATGGTGGCCGCATTGCTCCCAGCTGGCCGTCTTCCCTCTCTTCCCTCCTCACTGCCTCTCTGCTGCCTCCTGGTGTTTCTGGGATGAAGTCACTTAGTTCTGTGTCTATGACATGGGGGTAACAAGGATGAGTCAACAGGCTGCTTCTGTGGAGGCCTGTGATTCCCCACGGCACCAGGAGACTTTGTCACCCAGAGCTTTCCCCAGATTGAAACCTTATTGCAAAGTGCGGTGTTCACTTTGGAATTCTCAGCCACCTGGCCACCTGGCCTCTCTCCTGTACCGTCATCCCGTTGTCGACCCCCCCACCTTTTCTCTTTGGGGCCAGGTGAGGAGGTGGCCCCGTGCCCTTTCCTGTCCCTGCCAGGGCTCTGTTTTCCGAGGTCACGTGAGGAGGATTGAAATGGGACCTGCGCCCCTCAGGTCAGGACCTAAGCAGCCACCGTAGCTGTTAAGGCCACGGCCGGAAGCTGGACATCCAGGCCCCTGCCCACCCCAGGATCAGCCCGCAGAGGCTGGGGTCTCTGCCTCAACGCCCCCATCTGAATAATGGGGTACTAGCAGTGCCCATCTGCAAAGGCTGCTAGGGAAGCCACGCGGAAAGGGGAACGAGGACTCTCTTCCCGCACTGCAGACTGCTGCTTTTGCCTTCTCTTTCCTCTTTATTGGTCCACATCTGCAGTGTGTAGTGATTGCATCCCTCTTAACAGAGTTGGTACACGTTTACAGCACAGCCTAATTCCTTTTCCTTTCCTTCCCTTTGTCGTCCTCCCTCCATCCCTTGGCCCTCCTCCTTTTTGCAAAAGATCTATCTCCGTCTTCTTATCATCTACCTTTTGTTTTGTTTTTAAATTATTTACGCTTTAGGTTTCTTGGGTAAGAAAAGCCATATGGATTGCAGCCTGTGTGTTTGATTCATGTCACTTCACGTTCTGTCTCAGGGTGCATCCACTGTCTCACAAATGACTCGCAGTGACCCTTCTGTGTGGCAGAGCAGTACTCCGTATAGCTCCTCGGCTCAGGCCCGAGGCCTTAGATGGACAGTTGTGTTATTGTCCTCAGGACTCACCACAGCTGCTCAGGCCTCCTGATTGGCTGTCCCCTTTCCAGAAACTCAGGGTGCCCCCCTGGTGGCTGTCCACTTCCTGGTTGGTCGCCCTCCATAACCCAAGCATCCTTCCCTTATAGCGGACATGTTTTCCCATGAGGATGGTGGCCCGGAGCCGGACTGGGTCCTGTCGGAACGGGAGCAGTTCAATGATTTCCGGGACCTGAACAAGGACGGGAAGCTGGACAAGGAGGAGATCCGCCACTGGATTGTCCCCCAGGATTACGACCACGCTCAGGCCGAGGCCAGGCACCTGGTGTACGAGTCCGACAAGAACAAGGTAGCCCTGGGCGGCGGTGTTCGCGTGAGATGGGGTTGGTGGCTTCTGGGGGCTGATTCCCTGCTGCACAGCGGAGGCCATAGCTTGGGCTGAGCCCAGGAGCACCCACGGGGCCACAGATGGCCAGGTCACCCAGCCGGGGTGGGAGATGGGCAGCTTGAGGGCCGGGCCGGGGGTTAAGAAGCCTGCGTGTCCACCATGGAGATTGCAGATGTCTCCCCGACTTTGGGCCTGTAGAGACCTCGCCTGGCCCTCGCCTGGCCCCCTCCTGGCCCTGTCGGCCCCTGACAGGCTCTGCGTGTAAATACCCAGACGAACGGACCGAGGCCGAGCTCTGGAGAGATGCTTGCTCAGCATGACCAGGCTCGGCCCGGTCCCCAGAAGAGAATAGAGCAGGGAAAAGCCCTGCTGCATGTCATGGCGGGTCACAGCCCGACTCCCCAGGCAGCAGATGTGTGGCCTTCATGGAGGCCGGGAGGACTCCAGGGCCTGGTGGGGCTGCATGCACGATTAGGGGTACATGGGGATTCTAGTTGTGGGGTTCCTGGGCCCCTCAGAACTCGCGCAGGGCAGGAGGAGGAGGAGGCAGCATGAGGCAGGTGTCCCTGACAGCCTCCTCCCTCTCCCCAGGATGAGAAGCTCACCAAGGAGGAGATCCTGGAGAACTGGAGCATGTTCGTGGGGAGCCAGGCCACCAACTACGGCGAGGACCTGACCAAGAGCCACGATGAGCTCTGAGGCCGCCCAGCCGGCCGCCGCCGTGGTCCCCAGTGGAGCCAGTTTATGCCTCAGATTGGGGTAAAAGGTTTTTCACCCAGTACTTACTGGAAAGTTATCAGCACTGTTTTTTTTCAGTAAGATTCAAAACACATTGAAATCCTGGCAGGCGGCGTTTGTCATGGGGCTCTCTGGCTATGGCATGAGTTTCTCAGTGGTTCATTTTGTGTTATTTTGTTTTGTTTTGTTTTCCTACTAAGTTTAAGATCAGAGGAGAATGGAACTGGAGAAAGCCTGGGCCTGGATGGCTGGGCACAGCGCTGGAGCCTGTGCCCACTCGGATCGTCAGGCTTTTCTGTCCGCTGTTACTAAGCAGTGGGCGGGAAATCCTGAAACCGGGGGTGGTGTTCCATGGGCTCACTGCGGGGCAAGCTCGAGGGTCCCTGTCTGCCTTTTCCACATTGTTCTCTGAGCTGGTTCTGTAAGTCACTAGGAAACTTGAGTGTATTTCTCTGCAGAGCCCTCCTAATGTGCACAATCAACCCGCAACTTTGTTTTTCATTTCTGTAGTAAGTAGCAATCATGAAAGATAATGTGAACAGGAAAGGAATTTTACATGTGGTTAAAAAATAAAAGAAAGGAGCTGTAAGAGGATGGTGAACACTTTCTCTGTACTTGAGAACAGCCTCTCCATGCGGGAGCCAGGCAGATCTGATCTCTGAAATAGGGGCTAGAAGCAACCCACTTCCTCAACGATCCTGCATCACAGTGAGGCCCTGGGATCCCAGGGGCCACATGGAGTTTGCAAAACCCATCCCTCAGTGGCCTTCAACAAGGAATTAGGACACGGTGGCCCTTGAGCCATCACGGAACTGGCAGAAATGGTGGCTGCAGGCTGTAATTGTACCTGTGAGGTGAGGGGAGGAAATAAAGGACCTGCTTGAGGCTCTCTCCGGTGTCCTGTGACCTCGTCGCGTCACTCCCCATGGTAGGCCCCCATGTACTTTCATGATTGCTACTTACTACGAGTTGGAGAACGCGAAGGCTCTGGGGTGTTTTAGGTCCAGTTACTTGGGTGTCCAAGGTGAGTCCGTATTCACTGATCCAGCACACATACACCTGAGCCCGGGCTTGTGCCGTCCGACCTCCCACATGGCTTTCTGCTGGAACCTGCCAGCCGGCCCCATGGTCACGGGCTGGGTCCCTCTTTTCCTCTGCAGTGCCACCCTCTGACCTCTCCCTTTCCCCCATTCTGTTTCACTGACTGTGTGCCTCAGAGGGGAGTCTTCCTGGGTGGCCCCCAGCCAGGCCGCTCCCGAGTCCTCAGCTTGTGGCATGGTCACTCTGTCTCTGCCTGTTCTCGCATGCACTGGACCTCAGTTCCTGGAGTCTCCCTTCTCCATGTCTCTAAATAGGACTCGCACTGGTGCCCAGCCTATGCTTGGATCTGGGCAAAGCTCTTGTTGGATTGGGAACACATCCACAACCCTCTTCCCGGGTCCCAGGGTTTGGGAGGTGCCACCTGCTTCCCATCAAGTCCCTTGACACCCCACCCGTGGGTTGGAGCCAGAGGGCTGTGGGGACAGAGCCATCTGCTCCATCTTGTCCTCCACTGTTGCCTGAGATCTGGCCCAGGAGGGCCGGGCCTGAGTGGATGCTGGGTCATTGGCTGCTGGACACAGGAGGGACCGGGGGGTTTAATCAGAGGGACCATGCGTCAGGAAGAGTCATCCTATAAAAATACAGAAATCGTCAGCTTTGGCTGGATGGGAAGTTGAGCCAAGACTACAGTGACCCAGCAGCAGGGCCAGAGCCCAGGCCAGCAGCCGGCTCCACCAGCCTCTGACCTGGCAGAAAGCCACCCGCACCCAACTTCTGCTACTTAGGTTTTGTCTCTATTTCTTTGCTCACCCACAGCATATAATTTTGAGGTCAGGAAATGAGATTCATTCTTACCTTACCTAGAAATAGACTGAGGTCTTTTTTTTAAGCAATGAAATTCCATCTTTAAGAAAGTGTGAAAATAATGCCATGTATGCTAATTGCAAGTATAACTCTTTAATAATACTAACCTTGTTTTTTCCTGCAAGAGAGAGCACTGGGTGTTGTACCAAGTTGTGTGTAGCAGAACCCTGGATGTATTTGGAGCGTTGTTTTCTCTTCCAAGTCAGTGCACATAAAGAGTAATCCACAAAGAGACGTGAGCTTCTAGGGCTGAATTTAACACTATTTAAAGAAAGAAAACCTTCGCCAGGGGATAGAACTGTTAACATGGTGATTTGTAAAACCTTGGATTTCTAATAGGGTCTGACTGTTGCAAGGAAAACATATTTTGTTTGTAGGTAACATTTCAAGTCCAATTATGAAAAAATGCTACAAAATTGATCTGTAATGGGAAATACTGTCCCGTCACAAGGCATCACCCAGCGCTTCCTGTGACAGAAAGCGTCTACTGCCGGGAGCCGTGTTCTGTCCACACGGGCACGAACGCACATCCCCACCGTGTGTCCGCTGCAGCTCCCCTGGCGAGCGCAAGTGCAGTGGAGACCCCAGAACCTGGTAAGACCTGCACCTGCCCGGGTTGTGGCTCCCCTGTGAGCAGAGGCCGAGTCACCCCCAAAGCAGGAGCAGGGTGGCTCTGGTTGAAAGGATGGCAGCCGAGCTCGGGGAGGGACGTGGTGGGCAGCTTCTGTTTCACTTTCCCGAGTCTCTGCACGTTTGCCTTGCCATCTTCCTAATAAAATCCTGGCAGCTTTCCCTGCAGTCCTCAAATGAGTTTATGAGGCTGGAATTCTCAGGAAAGCCCCAAGGGTACCGTGCTGGGCACCATCTCGATTCACACCCAGGTCCTAGGAAGCTGAGTCTGGCAAGGGTGCTGGCGTCCTGTCTCACTCTCAGAGCACTCCCTGTACAGGGGCTACTGAAGAAGCTGCCCTGCTGTGCCCTCCCTGGGGCTCAGCCTGGTCGGGAAGCACCCCACCCCGTACCGGAGCTCTGCCCCCCGCCCCCCAAAGCAGGCAGCAGGGCCCCAGCTGCTTGACAAGCTCGGCAGGGGCAAACCCAACCACCTGAGTCTTCCTGCCATATGCAGGTTCCTCTTGTCTGCCCACACTCACAGCTGGGTAGGCTGGGGCCCGCTGGGTTCCGCCACGGAAATAAACCCTCACCTTGGGGCTCAGAGTGGCAGGGACTCAGTTTTTGCTTTGGTGACGTCACCTGTGGTCTGGGCAATCGTCCCGGGCAGTCGTGACACGGGAGTCAGCATCCAGCTGAGCCACACTGGGACCTGGACAGCCTGGGGTCGTGGGCATCCTTTTACCCATGTGTGAGCCAGGGGCTCATCAGTGAGGTGACTGTGACTGAATGTCCCATGGGGCCCTTCTGTTGCCCTGGGGGTGTTTGACTCACTCTCCTTCCCTGCGTACTCAGGGATCAGGAGAGACCCCTTTCACTCCTCCTCGCCTCTGCGCCTCTTGGTGGAGCCCACAGGGATAGGGCCACCCCTTCCAGTCAGGCTGCATGTCACCCCAGGACCAGGGCTCTACCCCCACATATCCCTCAACCTCTTCTGACCCTGGGCAGCTTCCTTGGCAGAGTTAGGGAGAGGAGCGGGTTGTGCATCTCTTGCCCCAAGAGGCTGCTGTGAACTGCAGGAGACCCAGCTGGGCAGGAGGCAGGCTGAGCCCCCTCCCCCCCATGCTGCAAGAGTTTATCTGCAGGAACCTAAGCCCCAGGGTTGTGGTCGTAGAAGGAGCCTTTGTGAGGGACAGAGTGGGGCAGTAGGCTCTCAGCCTGGCCACTCCTCTGCCGCATATGGGCTGGCCAGGCACGGAGATCACCGAGGAGCAGTGCACAGTCTTCTCTATGGGAGGCATGAGGCCGCAAGCGCTTGAAGGCCAGCTGTGCCCCCCCAGGGCTCCACCAGCCTGCTGTTAGGCCACGCTTCCTGGATCGAGGATGGTGCTGCTGTGACAATCTGGGAGCTGACAGCCATGTCCAGGGCGAACAGGTGCCGAGGAATCCTAAGAAGTTGCTGGGAGAATCCTCTTTATTTAGGGGCGAGTTAGGGGCGAGCAGTTCAATGCAGCAGTGGCTGAGTCTCCTGTGGCCAGGCTTCCCCTCGCCCTCACACTGCGTCACCTGAGCAGGCCCCTCTAGGGGTTCTCTTTGAGGCGACCAGCTGGCAGGAGGCTGCTCACAGGGAACACAGCTGCCAATTGGAAGCAAAGCCTAGGAGCACTGCAGGGTTGTGGGGGCACTCTCTACTCTCTACCCAGCAGGGGTCAGGGAGGCCAATGGGAGTGTGGGGGCTCGGACCCTACAGTGAGGACACAGCACCTGGCTGGGGATCTGCTCCATGCAGGGCTCAGGACATCATCGCTGGCCTGAAGCCTTCAGTGGCACCAAGGTCCACCACCCCCAGTTCGGCTCTGGCCAGTGGATACCGTTGTTGAGTTATCCAACTTCCCTGCGCCTCAGGTCCTACTGGGTCTGATGTTTGAGGCTGGAGTTCCCACCTCAGGCCAGCTGAGAGGACAGGAGCACGCCCGTGTCCCTTCAGCTACCCCGATCCCTGGCACAGCAGAGTCCCTGAACGCTGCTGTAGCAGGTGTGGGTCCCTCTTGTCCTGGTGCCCCGTGAGGGAAGTCAGGGCTTCCCTATAAGGGAGGGGAAGGCGTGCTCGTTTGGTGTCCTGAGCACTGTCTTTCACCTGCACCAGGAGCCTGCGCTCTCAGGGCAGGGCTGTGTCTCCGCATTAGCTAATTTTGTCAGAACTGAAGAGCTGAGAGGAAACTCAGAGGCCCAGAGAATGGGAGGTTTGCCTCCATCCTCAGCCCTACTTCGGATTTACTCGCTTTCCTGTCGTCTTCTTGTTTTGAGAACATTATTGGACCTAAAGGAAACAGTGTGCAAGCCTCTCGTTCAAGCTCGGTTCCCAGATGGGACTCAGGGATGAGCTCAGAGCTCTGCTGGTGCCAGGGTTGTCCTGTGCCAAACACCCTGGGAACCTGCCAGTGCCACCCTTGGGAACCTGAGGTGTGTCAGTTAGGGACAAGGAAAGCACCCGATGGAGAGATGTCAGCCCAGCAGGCGCCATGGCCACATCTGTGCACCAGAGTGTAGGAGTTTAGGTGCACAGGGCTCAGAAAGGCTGCAAAATGACCAACAGCAAGACATTTGCACCCAGGCAGCAGTGAAACTCTGCAGATTGTTTGGTTTTGCTTGCAATGGATGTTCCAAATGGAACATGAATTGAAATGAGAAAAATGGTATTTAAAATGACTGAATGTGAATGTTTTTCTAAAAATTTCAAAAGCACTCATGCTGTGAGCAGGCTGGACAAGCCTTCCTCTCAGGCACCCGGTGAGGATATCTGTGTTCTGTGGCCAAGGCAAAAACGTCGCCCACAGAGGGGCTCATCACACCAGCCTTACTCCTCATCCTTGAGGCTGGAAGATCAAGGTCCTGCCGCCCACAGGCAGAGCAGCTTCCTGGCTGGCCTGAGTAGCCCTGCAGCGGCCTGACAGTTGGCCACCAGTCATGGGCAGGGTGACCATTTCTCAGTGCTTTGTTGAAGGTGACTCCTTCAACATAGTAATTCCTCAAAGACCCATCCACAGCCGAGTGTGTCCTTGCACGTTGGCAGGGTTGGGTGCGCTCTCGGTTTCTTTCCTGGCCCGGGTCCTACTCACCCTCTGGAGAGTAGACAACAGAGAATCCAGAGGAAGAGTGACACTTGTCGGCTCCTTTCTTCATGAGCCCGGGTGCAAGCTTTTGAACAATTTCGACACAGGGCTGTGCTACCGCCTCTGCACTCAGTTCCCCTACAGCCTTGAAGTATAGCCAGCCTGGACGTCACACTCACACCCAAGGGGCTGGGTGCTGACTCGAGGCCCCTCGAGGAGTTTCCTCACCTTGCTTTTCTTTAACATTTTACTTTCATCGAGG